TATTTACCAATCACTTAATCTGTCGTGGCTTCAAACTTACATCAGTAGTGCATACGTAAAGAGCGAAGCGAATGTGCAATATTTTTCGATAACCGCAGTCAGTAGCCATCAATTTTTCTAATTAAATTCGTATTTAGCACATGCTCACAAGTGACTTCCATAATGACGGAGTAAAATCAAGTTACAAAAATGAAAACTGGAAAAATTTTAATTTGGCTAATTACTTTTGGGTAAGCGTCTTGTGAACTCCCATGGGTAGGTAGCATCGCCCTGCCATGAAGCAGTAATGCGTTTTAGCTTAAGGAATGGCGCAGCCTTTGTACTATAAGACTGAGTCTTAGAACACATGTCTCCAGGTAAGTGGCGGTAGTTATATCGTAGATGGACATAAGACATAATAACCTAACATTAGGTCGGCCGTAATCTCGCCGACCACAGATCCACAAAAAAGGATATAAGTCATATCATAACCTATAAGATACCATAGTCTCAAACTGATATTATTCGATGTTCTAAAATTCGTATGGTTTACGCAAGACGCTGACGCATTTCTTTCAATACAATTATATGAATGTAATTTTTTATATCGTTTTATAAATCGTAGATGCCTCAATACAAATGGTAACCAAACAATGTAATGATTCTTATATTTGTTTATAAAATAGAAATTCACACAATCGATAACATTCTCCCAAGACACCTTAAATGGACACACGCGCGTGCTGATATGCTTGCCAAAATAAGCCTATTCGTACAAGAATTCTTGCGCCTTATACAGCGTAATATGTGAAGGAGATGCCTAAGAACCTTCATAGATAACGAATGCCAATAACATTGTCTTAGCCCCTGGCGATCCTAAATAATGTTGGATGGATTACATGAACATCCCTTTTTTTCTTTACTATATTTCCGAAGACTTAGTCTATATGGTTTCGAATTGCTTAGCGATTATTGATGAACACATTTAAAATATACACAGTTAAAAAAAATGTATTACAAAGCATACAAACCAGACTACACCTTAACTGTTTTTTATTTATAGTTATTGCTTTATGTGTGACCCAATTTCAACTCAATGGTTGCCCGCAAATTTCTGATTCGTTGAACTCTAGCTGTTGCTTTACTGGTGTTAAGATTGTCGTTCTAAAATCTAAATAAGTATCATTTTTGATAAGGTGTTATAAAGTGTCATATCCGTCCTTTGAAAAACATTACGTCAATCCATTGCTTCTATGACAAAAGTGAGAAGCATAAAAACTCAGTCGAATTTACTACATTGCCATTATTATTATCGTAATTATGCAATTTCAGATAATCTTGCCAGTCATGTTCCCGAGTTCTTCTTAATAGCAAGTGACAAAGGCTTTAGGCTCAGAATAACGTGCATTTTGATTATCGTTCCTTACTCCTAAATTATGCAGGGAGACGTCTCGTTATTCTTAATGGTTCGGATAAAATCGTAAACGATTATTTTGCTGTAGAATTTTAAGACGTAGATAAAGCATGTCGCGGAAGAAGTTTGGTTTAACGAACCTTATGGGATTTTATGGGTTTTGCTTGTGTTGGATTAAGATTGTATCTTTTCATTCCATAGAAGAGGATTAGAAATGCTGAAACAATATATTTTTAAAAACACCTGACTGATTTTAATGTGCAGACTGGCGAATGGGAAAGTCTCCGTATTTTCTGTTGATGCAACATAGTGGATCCACATGGACTAATACAAAGCTTATCACTAGATAAGACACTAATTGGTGTTCTTTCACGTCATCTCGGATCCTCCTGATCCACTAACGGTGCTTTTAGGTACTTCAAGCACCGGTCACCGTTCTCGTCGAACCCGTCGCTTGCGACGAAGGGCTCGACGAGTAAATTAACTCTCAGACACAGCCCACTGAGTTTCTCGCCGGATCTTCTCAGTGGGTCGCGTTTCCGATCCGGTGGTAGATTCTGCGAAGCACGACTCTTGCTAGGGCTCGTGTTAGCAACATCGTCAGGTTTGAGCCCCGTGAGCTCACCTACTAAAGTTAGGGTTACGCTGAAATAGCCGTTAGGGCTATCAGCTTAGGTAGGAAAAAAAAAAAAAAAAAAGGTGTTCTTTTCTACGTTTTCTAAAAACCGCAAACCCCGTACTCTCTTCCAGTATTTTTGTATTGCATGGTCAACAATCTTTGTTACGAGGCTTGGGGGTGACCTATGTCCAGCAGTGGACGTCTGTGGGCTGATAAAATAGAATATAAATGGTCAACAAATTCGTCACAGATTGGTCTTCGTGTAGAATTTTCCTTAAAATTTAAGTGTGTTTTTTAATACTAATACTCTATACGTATGAACAAACTCACATCCCTTCTAGATCTAAGTGATTACCGAAGCCTATAGACCTCATAACATCAACCAGTCTCAGTTGTATTAAAAAGCTGTCCACAACCTGCCATTGAATCGAAATCGAGTCTGATGATGACGGCTTGAGGAATTCACATCGTGACTTCCATTGGTTTCGATAACTTTGCAACAGATAAACCGCAACCTTACTTGCACAAGTGACTAATAAGGGGGGCAGCCGTTGTAACTATACTGAGATCTTAGAACTTATATTTCAAGGTGGGTCGCCACCCACCTTGAAATATAAGGGTGGGTGACGCATTTACGTTGTAGATGTCTATGAGCTTCAGTAAACACCTAATAACCAGATGGGCTGTGAGATCGTCCACCTATCTAAGCAATAAAAAATAATAAACAAAAACTGTAAACTGTAAACAAGCTGTGTACGGCATTACGACGAAAATTTCGAATCGGGAAAAACAGCGAGGTAAACTTTAAGCATGACACCGATCCAAATAATCTGGGGAGATAATACTTAGTATTACGTCATTCGGAGTCCTGGCACGTTTGGCCCCTGCGACTGTGACATTGAGTTTTGTGTACTCGGAAAGAATGGCACCAGTAACTAAACTTCACGATTTTCCTTATTATTTCCAAACATGTATTTTTATTAATATCTTACTTACGAGTTTCGGAAGATGGAAGGTTAAATTTAGCAATTTAATAGTTCACCCCGCAAACTATCGCATTTTGTAGGTATTATGCTACAAACTTTCACATAGATTTCACAGCTGTACAAATTAGCTACATATAGCTTATGCAAGCATTGGCTTCGACAATAATTGTTATACCATATAAACAATTATTGAATACCAGCCGTGCTTGGCTGTGCTAACTAAAAATATACATATATTTTTTTTGTAAGTTCCAGTATCTTTAACTAACTTGATTTTGGTAATAATACAAATGAAGATCTCAAGCAAAATCGTCTTTGCCATTTCATTTAAATTAGAGCATACTTTCTGAAATTTCGCTACACTGTGACTAAAACGTATAGAAAAAAATACACGCACAAGTTTCTCAAGAGGCGCAGTCATTTATCAAGGCAGCGCTAAGAACTCTCGACAAGGCGAACTTTTGATACAGGATACGCTCGCACTAGACATTAATAATAAGGATATCTCGGTGTTTGATGTGATGTCGTCCCCGTGTTTTATTACTGAAGTGGAAAACTTCTAACTTCATTTCGTTTAGTTTTTCTAATACTGAGAGATGTTTTTATGTTATATTAGCAGTAAATGTGTTGTTTTTTTTTCTCGTAAATATCTATTATTTCGCCATTTGCAATGGGGCCATGCGTGACAGGTTCAGGCCGTGTCAGATTCGTGAGGTTCCATCATATTTCCAGAAATTCTGAGAGGGTTTTTTTTTCCGACTTTAAAGTTTTCTTGGTCACATACGACCAGTCTGAGCGAAAGAGTTTTTGTGAAATAATAATTGACGTTTTTGAGTGCTAATTACTAGACATGACCTATTACGATTGGTAGCGTATCATAAGAAAGTAATACCTTAGATTTTAGGTAAGAATAAAATTTGGAATCATCGGTTCCATAACACAGATCGCGGATACGGCTTTTTAATTAGTGCTAAGACAAACCATATTTCTTATTCTAACGGTATTTTACGAAGTTTAAATAAATTGAAATTGTATACATACAAATTCTAATATAAAATCAAATGGTAATTAGTCTTTTGTCATACCCTAAGGACCTTAAAGACTCCCACCTGTCCTGGTGAAACTGGAAAGGCCTCAGGGAGACCAGTAATCACTCATTCAAAAAAAAAACCTCAAAGACAAAATAAGTGGCCAATAAGAGTTTATTTACGAAGCATTCGAAACTGCTTCGACCACTAACAAGTCTGGCATATTTATTCCCAGCGTCTGTTCCCAAAACTCCGGGCGTGGTAACTAACTTCAAGTTAGGCCAGTAAACGACTTTACGTGTCGAACGAGGAAATCAAATTATCAACTCCCATGAACTTCACACCTCTACCCTTTCAAGATATGTACTGGAATTCGTCGGCCGAAAATGTTTGCGCCTGCTCTCTTTGTAAATGCTGAACGTTTCTTTAGAAAATATATGCCAGGGCACGCGACGCCAAACAAGCTTTATTGGGTATCTTCACCAAAGTATGTGAGTTGGGAATTCAATAAGTGACAGCGTAAAGAATTAAGGGTGCTCCTAACATGCCTGCACTTTGTTCCCTATTGTCACTTTGATGTTTCTCTCTCTTTTGTTTTGCTTACAAAATATTCTTTGTGAATTTTGAACAAAATTAGGTCATTGCTGTGATAATGCAATAACTTATTCGCATTGCCACAACAAACTTGTTCTCCTAGGGAGAGATCAATAAATAATTGCAATTGTAAAACATTAAATGAGTGATTTCAAAAAGCTGAATTTGTTTACCACTATTATTACGTAGATGGCTTCCTTTTTAACCCGATGTGTTGGCACGATTAAGAAAACATTACATAATTGTGTGAGACCCGACGGTCGCGCAAGTGGCGCCGTGTGAGCGAACGTGTAACTATGTTGGGGTGGAAGGGGCGAGCCAGAGGAGACGGAGGGAGCGGCTACGAGCACCACCACTCTCGCTAGACTGACGAACCGATCGCCCCGACAGTCGACAGTCGCTCTTGAGTCACGATGTGGACGCCACGCGTCCGCGTCGCTCCCCACATCTTACGTACGCGTGCCGCGATGTAAACAAGTTTTGTGATTTGTGTCTTCTTATATCATCGACACAGAAGTGAGTTATTGACTGTGTTTTGAAAAGGACAAATGCGTGGGGAAAATGTTTCAATTTCTGACTCTTTTGTTTGTGACTTTTGGTGTCAATGCGGCCTATGCTCGTGGCGTTGATAATTGTAGTCGCCAGAGTAAAGGTGACAATAGCACTCTGTGCCGGGTGCGAACCCTTGACGCTGACGGATCCAGCTTAGCATCTGCACCTACAGAAACTACAAAGCGTCTCGACATCGAATGCAACCAGCTGCTACTGTTTGAAAGTTATTTGGAGGCGAACTACTTTCAAAGGTTTCACGAGCTCACAGAATTAACAATTCGGAACTGCAAGCTTCTGAGAATACCAGGCAATGCCTTCGAAGGATTACGTGAACTGAAAAAGTTGTCGATCCGATCTAAAAACTACGATTGGAGCTCGAACAAAAACTTGGAACTCTCATTGGGTACTTTCAACGGATTACGTGAATTACAAGCACTCGATTTAGGACAAAATAATTTAAAGACTATACCTTCAGAAGTGTTTTGTCCATTGGACAACTTGCAGACACTAAACGTTACCGGTAACAAATTAAAAAGTGTCGATCGTCTCGGCTTCGGTAAAAATTGCGGATCTGGCTTACGAAGATTGGACCTGAGCCGGAATGAAATCAAATCTTTGCCTGAAGAGTCCGAAATAATCGGATTGAAAAGGCTTCAAGAATTAAAACTACAACATAATAACATCACAGACATTTCAGGTGAAACGTTTAACGGGCTCATTTCTTTAAGAATATTAAATGTTTCCTACAACAACATTCAGTTTATCCCTGAGGGCACATTCGCCAGCACGAAAGAGTTACGAGAAGTGTATTTGAATAATAACCTGCTATTTGAACTAGCCAGAGGCGTGTTCCACCGATTAGAACAGCTGCTTGTCTTAGATTTATCGTATAATCAGCTATCTAGTGCTCATATAGATGGCGGTACATTTGTTGGCCTCATACGCCTAGTCATTTTGAATTTGTCGAATAATGCATTGACAAGGATAGACTCTAAGACGTTCAAGGATTTATTCTTTCTCCAAATATTAGATTTAAGAAACAATTCAATTGGATATATCGAAGAAAATACTTTTCTTCCATTGTACAATCTTCACACATTGAATTTAGCTGAAAACCGTTTGCATATGATAGACGAGTATCTCTTCAATGGATTGTTTGTACTTAGTAAATTAAACTTAAATAATAATCTCCTTATAAACATAGATATAAATGCGTTTAAAAATTGTTCGGATTTAAAAGAATTAGATTTAAGCTCGAATCAGTTATTGGATGTTCCAAACGCCATCTGGGAATTATCTCAATTAAAAACGTTAGATCTTGGTGAAAATCAAATAAAAGACATAAAAAATGGATCATTTAAGAGTTTAGATCAACTAACCGGTTTGAGATTGATAGACAACCAAATCGGTAATTTGAGTGTGGGTATGTTTTCTGAACTACCAAGCCTACAGGTTTTAAACTTAGCCAAGAATAAAATTTTAGCCGTAGAACTTGGTAGTTTTCAAAATAATAAACAATTAGAGGCCATAAGATTAGATGGAAATTTTATATCCGATATCAATGGCGTATTCTCGAGGCTGATGAGTTTGTTATGGCTAAATTTGTCGGAAAATCATTTAGTCTGGTTTGATTACGCTTTTATTCCAAGTAACTTGAAGTGGCTGGACGTTCATGGCAATTTTATTGAACATTTAGGAAATTATTACAAGCTTCAAGACGAAATCCGCATAAAAACTTTAGACGTAAGCCATAATCGTATAGTCGATATTTCTCCATTGGCTATTCCAAACAGTGTTGAATTATTGTTCATAAACAACAATCACATCAATAACATTCAAGTAAACACTTTTATGGAGAAGCACAATTTGACCCGTGTTGATATTTACGCAAATGAGATATCTCACTTAGACATCAACAGCCTACGCTTATCTCCTGTACCTCTGAATAAGTCACTACCGGAGTTCTACATTGGCGGAAATCCATTTGATTGCGATTGCTCCATGGAATGGCTACCTTTGATAAACAATATGACCACAATGAGACAACATCCACGCATCATGGACTTAGAGAACGTATTATGTAAAATGACCCACACTAGAGGTGTAACGCATATACCTCTTAGCAACTTGAAGTCTACTGATTTCTTGTGTACATACGAAACTCATTGTTTCACATTGTGCCGTTGTTGTGATTACGTTGCTTGTGATTGCCAAATGACATGCCCGTATAATTGTTCTTGCTATCATGACCCGACTTGGAATAAAAACGTGGTTGACTGCTCCAGTCAAAGCGCTATAGAGATACCAGAAAAAATACCCATGGACGCAACCGAGGTCTACTTAGATGGGAACGACTTTAAAATATTGCAAAATTATGCATTCATCGGGCGAAAAAATATGAGGTCGCTCTATGTAAATTCTAGCCAAGTTGAAAGCGTACATAATAAAACGTTCGCTGGCTTATCATCTCTTATTACGCTTCATCTCGGCAACAATAAGCTAAAGCATTTGAATGGTTACGAGTTCGAGCATCTGACGCAGCTTAACGAGCTTTATTTGCAAGATAACTTTATCAGTCATATTGCAAACTTAACGTTTTCAACGCTGTATTCATTAAAAATCTTGAGATTGGACGGCAATAGATTAATCGATTTTAGTATTTGGAGTTTGAATGCCAACAAACAGCTAATCTCTCTCAGCATAGGTAACAATATGTGGTCGTGTAAATGTAGGTATTTACAAAAATTTACCGCATTCATTTCAGATAATGTTCCTAAAATTGTTGATGTAACAGATATATCGTGTTGGAACGTCGATACAAAAACTACACAAAAGAAAGAACTTAATCTCAACGGAACGATTTGTAGTGATTATTACGCTGGCGATTCGGTTATAGATAACATTTTAGTATCGAATTACATGCCTATGATGGTAACGACTCTCTCCGGATTCATGTTGATTATGTTAGTCATCCTTGTGATTTTCATATTCAGAGATACGGTTCGTATATGGCTCTTCACAAGCTGCGGGATTAGATTGTTTCCATTCAACGGAGCGTACGACGACACTGATAAATTATACGACGCTTACGTCTGTTACAGTCCAAAGGATGACGATTTTGTTATTCAAACCCTCGCTGCCGAGTTAGAGAATGGTAATCCATCGTATCACCTCTGCTTGCATTACAGAGATATACCGCAACATAATGTTGCTTATATGCAATGCACGTTACCACTTCCCGAGTGCGCGGAAGCGTCCAAACGCATTATACTAGTACTGACCAGAAATTTCATAGAAACGGAATGGTCGCGTTTCGAATTCCGACAGGCCCTACACGAAATAGTTAAGTCACGTATTTATACTTTAGTGATAATAGAAGAGGGTTCAATTTTGCCCGAGGCCGAATGCGATCCTGATTTAAGGCCGTACTTGAAAACAAGCTCAAGGATAAGATGGGGCCAAAATAAATTTTGGGAAAAGTTACGATACGCGATGCCGGATAAGAGATACAAATCTAAAACGTCTGCCTACAGGAATAATATAAATTCTTATTCAATGCGAAGTGCCACCCAGAACGGAACAATGCGATCTTTTTCTTTCACTGAGAAAATGAGAGGTTCGGCAGATGGTGTCAGTACGAGTCCAGAGTTCGTCGACCCCGCGTCTCAGCACGTGCCTGTAGCATCGTATGGACCGGACGGTAGACCACCCTCGGACCATATTTACTCATCGATAGATTCGGACTACTCATCCCTAGAGCTAGGTGCAAACAATCCGAATAGGAGACGCGAGTTCAGGCATTGGCCTCCGCCGCCACCTTTAATTGACACTCAAAGCTCAGGTCAAGCTTATCTTGTCTAGTCCATGTGCTTCACGTTACTTATTTTAATTAATTTAGTCAAAGCTTCATGTGAATATTGTATCGATCGTAACACGCGCTTTACCAAATAATTAAAATTTATATTATATTTTTGTAATTTCTCGCCGTTACAAAGGGCGTTCGTGAATTCGATGTAAATAAATACATTCTATAAGACTGCTGTAGTAATATTGTGAATTTGTAAATAAAAATGTAAATAAATGTCCATAGTAAAAGTCACAAGTATACTATTTATGTACTTTAATAAAGCCATTGTGATAATTTTTGCATAATACGCTCTTTCATTAAAACCCTTTTACGATTCAAGTGTTTCGTTATTTTATTTTTTGTCTATTTATAATGTTAAAATGGTTTAACCTCATCCAAGGTTATTGATAAGTGCCAGCTATTAAAATGTTATTCTTTTTTTGTAAGGGATTCTTAATTAAAGCATTCTTATTTGAATAACGGAGAGCATATTGTTGAGCTTTTTTAAAAAGCACGAGTACATGAAAACCTTAATTGCAGAATCAATTTACGGATAACAGGTAACGTAATTCTAAATAATGGAGCTTCTTTTTGTAACCCTATTAAATTTAAACTAATAGTAAAAACTATATTAGATTTCATATCAACACGAAATAATATAATTTCTATCAAATGAACGTTCCTATTTTACCAGTACAGTTTGTTTGTCTAGACGTGCTCACAATCTGGTCTTAAAGGCTGAAGACTATAAACAACAATAAGCAAGCCGGTACACGCCTTGAAGTGTAAGATATAAGTCTTAATTGCACATAAAAGTGCTTCGCGTACCTACTCATACGGCCTGACTACGCTCAGCCCACGACCAAAAATTACCAAGACTGAAGACTATAAACACCAATAAGCAGGCCGGTATCCACCTTGATGTGTAAGATTTAAGTCTTAATTGCACATAAAAGTACTTTGCGTACTCACACGGCCTGACTACGCTCAGCCTACGACCGAAAATTACCTAAGCTGAAGACTATAAACACCAATAAGCAGGCCGATCCACTTTGATGTCTAAGATATAAGTCTTAATTGCACATAAAAGTGCTTCGCGTACTCACACGGCCTGACTACGCTCAGCCTACGACCAAAAATTACCAAGGCTAAAGACTATAAACACCAATAAGCAGGCCGGTATCCACCTTGATGTGTAAGATTTAAGTCTTAATTGCACATAAAAGTACTTTGCGTACTCCCACGGCCTAACTACGCTCAGTCTACGACCAAAAATTACCCAAATTGTTTTTTTGACGGGTTTCATTTTAATTACACGATATTATTTCTTAATTCATCATCATTATCTTGCTCTTCTCCCAGTCACCTGGGGTCGGCGCAACATGTTTTCTCCTTCCATATTCTTCTATCATATACCATTTCTTCGCTCACTCCCCTCTTACCCATATCGTCTTTCACACAACCTATCCATTTCTTCTTAGGTCTACCTCTTCCTCTATATCCTTCCACATTCATAGTTAACACTCTACTAACGACCTCATTTTCATTTCGTCTCATGACATGTCCATACTATGCCAAACGCGCACTCCTCAGCTTCTCTGTCACAGGTGCCACTTTCAGACTTCCTCTAACATATTGATTCCGTATTATATCCATTCTCGTTACTCCACACATCCATCGCAACATTCGCATCTCTGCTGCATGCAATCGCCTTTAAATTTTCATGAAAATGAAAATTCTTAATTGATTCCTTAATTAATTCTTAATGATATTTCTTAATTGTGAACGCGAATTATGAACTGTTCAACTGATATACACTCCGGTTTAACAGTTCCGTGTTTCGTTTGAAAAGTTGGTACCTGCATCTCGCAATCCTTGATACGCCATAATGTCCACTTGGCCATCACCATCCCCAATCGAAGAGACCGCTTTCAATTTATTCCAAAAAAGCACGTAGATGCATACGTTCTTAGTAAAAGGAGTTTTATACAAATAGTAAGTGGTTGCGTTAGCTGATACGTACATTCAAAATGAACCCTAAAAATGGTAAAATCATATTATTAAAGAATTTAAGGTTGTTGAATTTGCGAAAATTTGACACTTTTTAAAATTAAGGATTAGGATGAAAACTCTCTGCCTGGATATTTGACAGAACGCTGGGGTGCCGACGTGACCAGAATCCTGTGGTCTTCGTATTATGATCGTAAGGTAAGAGCCCCTATTGAATTTTAAAATCCAATCTCCGAAAAAAAAATGATACGTTCTCTGCATAACTATTGTCATCTAGGGATTTTTAAGGCTTTTTCGAAAAGTCTTTGTCAACAATTAATTCTGTTCAGATCGGAAAAGGCATAAAGAAGGAGGTAATGATGAGTAACCGAATTTTTTTTTAAAGATTTAAAAATATTAGTGTATTAAAATTTGATTAGTTACATACTGCTAACTGATAACACATGGATTGCAATATGAATGCCAATAATCATTGTGAAAGGTGGAAATCTAGATGGTTTGGAAGTTTTGACTCTCCAATCCTTCAAAAGGGGCACATGACATCATAGTAAAAATGGATAAGAAAGCGATAAAGCGTGCGGGCTTCTAATCCACCATTACGATCTTTATAATAGATTTGTTGGCTTAGCGAAGCGGTCTAGTCATGATCGCTATAATCCATGGTGCGGGTTGGATTCTTATTTTGCATTGGTATGAACAGTTTCATGACCCATAAATTTTTGAGATTTTATCGTAGCTCATAGACACTACGAAGTAAATCCACTCCTTCACCTCGATACATATATGAAGTCGATAGATACTTTTTAAATCGGAACCCAAGACTGCGTCGCGGCGGAATCCCGCCTGGGATTGCAATCAGAATATTAGTTAAATAACATTTTATTATCAATTCCTAGATGTATTCAGAAGTGTCAGCGGCAAAACAGTTTCTTTTAAAATAAAGGAAACTTAATTATATCACACACCATTTTGCTGCAGTGTAAAAATAACAAACATACTTCGCATTACAATAACTTTATACAATACAATGAGAATGTTGTCTTAGAATAGAAATAGCAAAGGATTTTCTCAGAGATATAGTAGGTATTCATTGGCTGACCTACGCACGTATACTGCGTGTGTGAATATAAAACACTTTCTCACATTCAAAATTATATTTTATAGAGTATTCATCATAAATAATCTTTCCTACAATTTTACGTTCAATTAACATTCAATTTACAACTTACTTAATAGTTTTAATGCACATAGAGTTTCTATAATGACAAACCTTCGCCCACGTACAAAGTAAAGCGATTGTTGTACAGAATTCATAGCTCAGTTTTTAAACTGGTCAAAGGACATAAAGGACAAATCTTCCTCTACTTTCTTATGTCCGAAATTAAGACCGCATGAAATTATGATGTAGTCTTTACAAGTATTCAATAAACCCTCAGTAAACACGCATTGCGATTCAGTAGTAAGTTTTCAAAAACTAAAAAAACAAATATAATTCTAAACTAAATTTTCTCACATAAAATATAATATACAAAATAATAAATAATATATTCAAACTTACTGTAACAAACTTTAGGTACAATATACTGATTCACCCGCGTAAAGTTAGAGCAAGTCCCTAGTACTTGATAAATATGTATTATAATATTTCAAATGTGGAATCGTAACCATTTTTACAGCTCTTTTTTTCACACGATCAACAGTTTGGAGCCCAAACTAAGTTTCTCTGCGATATGGACACGAGAGACAGACATGCTTACTTATATATGTTTAAATATATGTAGATAATAAACATCCAGTCAAAGAACAATCAAACCTGTTCACCACATGTTTACTCGATGTGGGAATCAAAACCACGGCCACGAAAAGTCAGAGGCGCTAACTACTAAACCACCGAGTCAGTCTATACTCTTATGTAATTTCAGAACCTATAAATCTATGTTACTATTCTGTTGTTATGCTATTCTAATTTATGTTGTTATTTTAACTTCGAATAGAAATTATGTGTAACCATTATAAGCGATCCACGTATGAAATACCTTCATGCTTAAATAAATACTTTATAATTAGTATCCTCATTTTTATCTAAATCCGAATGATGCTCATTACCGAACTAGCGCCATTTTTTTTTCCTACCTATTCTAGTAACCTCGAGAGGCTATTCTAGATTAACCGAGCTAGTAGGTGAGCTCAGGGGCTCAAACCTGACGAACTAGCATCTGCTGGGCTACGAACGCATCAGTTAGCGAAGATAAAAACGTTATCAATCATCTAAAAACCAAACTATAGATTCTGCCTAAACACCCACATTGTCCAGGCATTTATTATTTACGTACTTCAGTTATTTCCGTTCATTATTTTAAAGTTGCTCTCCGGCTCTGTTAATAATTCAATGTAACGTTCAAACTCCTATAAAGTTTAGACTATGTGTTGGAATCAATTTCGTTTATTCGGGTAACCAGATCGGCTTTTATTATTAAAAGGACATTAATTACTCTTGACCGCTCTTTAATTTTGCGTGTAAAGAAAAAAGATGCCAATCTTTTTTTCTTTTTACGGGTCACAGTTTTCGGTAAATAAAACGGAAATTTAAAACCCATCATCACAACCTTCTAAGAGATTCTTGGATTCTCTAAAAAACGATCTGCAGTTTGAGATCACGACATCAAACCCTTAACTAACTCGCAACCAAGAATTTGCTATTAATATTTGAATTCGGTAGTCGTATTGTTTATAGTCATTTCGCATCGTCTTTGTCTTCTTCGAACACTAGTAGCTGTTTAATACAAAAACGTAAAAGTTACCCCGGGGGCTATAAACCGGAGAAATGTTATGAGTCATTGTTCACCGCCTATTGACATAACGCGCACGGCAATAAAAGAGTATTTGAGGAACTTGAAATGAATTACGCTGAGTACAAGCCGCTTTTGTGTTTTTTTTTTTTTTTTTCGTTTCGTCGTGACGACGATGTCACGCAAAATATTTTGTCTCTGGCCCATTGTTGGGTTTTTGCGAAGGACATGTAACTTTGACTTTTCTGGAATTTTTGTTTGGAGTTCATTTGGGTTGTTTGAATTTTGTTGGCGTTTGGATGAATTTAATATGTTTTTGGGTACAATTTTAAAGGTTTATGTTTCGAATGAATCTCTCTAAGCTCATTTTGTAATAGTGATGTTCAAATAAGAGATCAAGGCGATAAATGAAATGCTACCGGCAAAAAGTGTGTTAGAAGAGCAGAAGGAAGTTAGTGGCGTGTATTTGGATGTCCCCTCCAGCTTCAACAGGACGGGTGGGACTTATTAAGAGCTGCC